TTAGCAATATACTTAACTTACAAATAGATTTATACACAAAGCTTTGTTACAAAGCCCACAGCCAGGCTAACAATCTCCGTGGAGAAGAGAACTGAGCACACCTATATGTTACTGGCCAGACCTTTGTTCTTTTATTCTTGGACCTTGGGCTTTATTTCTTTTTTCTTTTTTTAAAAATATTTATTTATTTATTTATTATGTATACAATATTCTGTCTGTGCATATGCCTGCAGGCCAGAAGAGGGCACCAGACCCCATTACAGATGGTTGTGAGCCACCATGTGGTTGCTGGGAATTGAACTCAGGACCTTTGGAAGAGCAGGCAATGCTCTTAACCTCTGAGCCATCTCTCCAGCCCCTGGGCTTTATTTCCTAGCAGACCTTTGCTTTTGTTTTGGATTTGTTAGGACTTATTCAGGGAGTCGTTTCTGGTTTTTTATTTTAGGTCCTCACGGAAAGTGAGTTTGGGTTAGGCAGAGTAACTATGGTCACACCTGCATTTGTCTTCGCCTCCTCTGCCTAACGAACATGCTCAGATGGACTGCTACCCACAAGGCCTTTCAGCCTCCGCCTCGCCATCTCATCAGGGCTGATTTCTTTAATGCTCAACTTCCACGCCTGTTCCTTCCACTTCATCATTCGCTCCCTGAAGTTTCTACAATTTCCCTTCCGCTTTTCCCAATTGACTAAAATGATTACACCAAAGTCAGCAAGCTTTGCAAACTGTCCTCTTCCAACCTCCATTTCCACTGATGCCCTGGAAGCACCTGAGGCTGCTGACCCTTCCCAACCCTCCTGTTGGCTTTAAAAATGTTGGTTCTGTGCTTCTCTCCCCAACTATTGTTGGTTGGTAGGGTTTATTTATTATTTTACTTTTTAAAAGATTTTTAAAAATCATGTGAGTGCAGTGCTTTCGGTGGCCATACGTTGTTGGAGTCCCTGGAGCTGAAGTCAGAGGCTGTTGTGAGCTGCCTCGTGTACACTGTAGAGGATTGAATTTGGGTGCCCTGGAAGAGCAGCGTAAACTCTCAACTACTGAACCTTCTCTAAGTCTCTATTTTATATGTATGTGTGTGAGATTCAGTTTGCATGTGCACTATGTTCATGCCAAGTATCTGCAGAGATCAAAAGAACAGGTTGGGTCCCCTGGAACTGGAGTTACAGGTGGTTTTGGACTGCCATGTGGGTGCTGGAAACCAAACCTGGGTCCTCTGGAAAAATAGCTTAACTGCTGAGCCATCTTTCCACGCCCTTGGTTTGGTTTTTGAGATGGGTATTGGTGTATCTTAGGCTAAACTAACCTGGGACTCACTGTGTAGTTCACTCTAGCCTAGAATTTGCAATTCTCCTGCCTCAGCTTCCTGAGTCCTGGGATTACTACATGAGTCCCTCACTACATGCAGCTCATTGTATTGTTGACTCTCCCCTGTTCCAATTTCCTGAGCACAGAAAACTGTTCTTGATCTGCTTTTCTTCTCTCCTTGGAGTATCATGAAAATAATTTAAAAACCTTGATTTCTAGTTCTGACCTTTCTAAAGCGTCTGCTATTAACCTTCCTCTGGATGTTCTTCAAATATCTTAAAAACTCAGTAGATTCAAATCAAAACAATTTCCCCCTAAAACAAAAGTCACATTTTCTTATTTCTGTATTTTGTGTGTCATTTTTACTTTCTTTCTTAAATGAAAATTGGGCTTTCTAGATTTTGCCTCAAGATGTTGTAAATCTATTCTTTTTTTTTTTTTTTTTTTTTTTTGGTTTTTCAAGACAGGGTTTCTCTGTGGCTTTGGAGCCTGTCCTGGAACTAGCTCTGTAGACCAGGCTGGTCTCAGACTCACAGAGATCCGCCTGCCTCTGCCTCCCGAGTGCTGGGATTAAAGGCATGCACCATCATCACCTGGCAATGGCTTAGCTTTTACAAGCACTGACTGCTTTTCCTAGCACTCACATCAGGTGGCTCACAACTGCCTATAATTCCAGTTTCAGAGAATCTGGCACCTTCTTCTGGCTTCTTCTAGCACCAAGAATACACATGGTGCACATACATGCTTGCTGGCAAAACACCCATACACATACAATAAATTAAATAAGAAATAACAAATTTTAGTAACTTTCTCATTTTTCTGCTAAACCAAGTATAAAGTACTCCCCCTTGACATTCATATTGCTACTCAGAGTATCTCCAGACTACTTCCCTGGTCTTACTTTCTAATGCTTTTCCACATGCTCTGGCCAACCTGGGCTACAAATGGACCCTCCACTCCTGCCTTCCAAAGCTCTATTCATGGCATCCTGTTCTGGTAGAAATGAGAATCCCTTTATCTTCAAACGAAATGTCACCATTCCCTCAAGGTGTACCTCAAAAGTCACAAGCCCTGAGCCACAGCTTATCACTCCTTTTAAATGTTTTCTCTCTGTCAATTATTCTAACCATACTTGTATCTACTTGTTTGGATACTTAATATCCCCACCCAAAGTACACAGTTCGAGAGCAATGACTACACGGCTGTTTCATCTTTCTCGCCCAGGCAATGTCAATAATAAACACTCTAAGCATATTTACGAAAGGAAGCGTAAAACTCTGCATGGTGCCATACACCTTTAAATCCTACCACTCGGGAGCCAGAGACAGGCGTATCTCTGTGTGTTCGAGGCCACCCAGGCTATAGAGAGTTCCAGGCTAGGACTCTTCAGTAAAACCTTGTCTCAAAAAAAAAAAAAAAAAAAAAAAAAGCGAAAAAGACAGGGGGCGGGGTGGGAGTAGGGGGTGCGGAAATGAAGGGGAAGGGTGCTGCTGGTAAGCCTCGTTCATCACTTACAACCCGCATGGCCTGGCATAAAAAGAGTACTAACAAAATACATTTGAGTGAACAGCAGAGGTCAGTGCTCCCAGGACTCCCATAAACCCGACTCCCCACTCTGCATCCACACCCACGATCCGGCTCTCCCTGAAGCTGCCCATCCGTCCCGCAGCCTCCTTCACGGCTTGCTCATTCTGCTGGGCCAAGTGAAGCAGCGCGTTTTCGATGGTCTCTGTGGCAACCGCTCCAAACTGGAAGTCACTGGAATTAGCAAGTCTGGGCCTCAAGGGTCCTTCCATATTCAGAAATCTTTCGGAGCACTGGGACAGTTCACCGGATCCATAAACTGGCTTCCTTAGCTTATTTCCAGAATCTTCTGCCACTCCTTGGAGTCTTCCTTCCTTTCCAATATGTCTGCCCTGGCCTCGAATCTGAGGAAAACTTAATTCCCACCACAGCCTCGAACCGTCAGTAGCTTTTCGCGCCCCGAAGCGCTCAGCCAATCAGAAAACACAACCGCTTCTCGTCTTTCTTGCCCCACCTCCAGAGCGGAGAGACCCTGTCTCTACCCAGAAACACCACGCGGACTACAACTCCCAGAGTCCCTTGCGGTGATCAAAGCCTACTATTCCCGGAGGGCTGGGCGGCTTAAGGCGGAGCAGCAACATGGCGGCGTCCGGAGCTGGTGACCCTTTGGGTGCTAAGGATGGAAATGCCCCATTCGCTCAGCGCATCGACCCGTCACGGGATAAATTGACCCCAGCGCAAGTGCAGTTTATGCGGCAGGTGCAGCTTGCCCAGTGGCAGAAAACACTGCCACAGCGGCGGACCCGGAACATCGTGACTGGCCTGGGCATTGGGGCTGTGGTATTGGCTATTTGTATCCGTCCTGACTATACCACGAATGGGGTTAGGGAAAAGGGAACGAGACGTGTAGCCTTTAATGTGTGGACAAAATGGGGTTAATACCTAATCCTACTATATCTGCGCTGCTCTTAGTGGTTTTGTGATAGCAATTCAGTTAAGGGTTCAAAAAGAGCAAAAGGGTGGCACTCCACAATCATTAATTTGGGATGATAACAAGGGTGGTAGAAGAAAGAAATGCCCATATGCTTTTGGTTTCCTGAACTCACCCCGCCAGATGGTTACACCTTCTATTCAGTGGCTCAGGAGCGTTTCCTTGATGAACTGGAAGATGAGGCCAAAGCTGCCCGAGCCCGAGCTCTCGAGAGGGAGAGAGCATCAAGACCCTAACTGTACGGACCATCTTCAAACTGCTGGAGCTCCTGTACCCCTTAAATGATGTCTGGCGATCTCACAGCATCGCTGCCTTCCTTCCTTCGAACTGTGATTGAGCCAAGAAGCCAGAGACTGTGCGCCTGGCCACTGCCGGGTGTGTGTTGGGGGGGGGGGGGATTGTTCATTTCACATGCAGTTTGTACAGTACTCAGCCTTCTAATTTCCTTGTTCGAGAGGTATGTGACCTTGCCTTTCCTCAAACTTTGTGGTTTACCCCTTCACCTCCCAGGGGCCCAACTGTTAAGGGGGAGGGTGTGGTGTATCTGCAGAGTTGGAACCTTAAGTGGGAAAGATGGGGTCAAGTTAAGAGAAATAAAATGAGTCATCTCTCCTGAAGGCAAGGCTAGTGTTTGGGGGCCGAGGGACACATGGCGCTTCTTGCTGGAAAGCGCCCTGGCAGTAACTGCCCTGGCAGTAACTGCGGGGGTGGCACAGCCCCAGGGAGCGGTAAATGTTTAACTAGAATTACTTTTTCCAGCAGATCTTTCCACCTGATTTAAGGGAGAGATTACTGGGCTGTTTGAGACCGAACCAGGTCTTAGGGAGAGGAAGGTCACTCTTTTGCTCTGAGCCTTAAAGACTCATAATGTCACAGCCTTTTCCCATCGTTGCATGGGTAGATGAAGGACAAGAGACTAGCACCTTCATTCTTTTGACATTCGCTGGTACCTGCCCATACAGGTCTAGGGTGGAGTCTGGAGAGGGTCATAGCTTGGCCAGGTGGATCACTGGTCATGGAGTTTCCTCATGACCTGGTGGCAAAAAGCCAGAAAACTGGGCAGCGTCCATCCTGCCTCCCATTGTGAGAGGAGAATGGCTTCTAGATCCTCGCCCGCCTCACCACACAAGTCTTTGCCCCCAGCTCCTAAGACATGACAGATACAGACCCACAATCCTTCCCAGTATTTTTATTGATTGCTGTTCACTTTGGTGGTGTAAGCACACCTGCTACACTCCCAGCTGGCCTTCTAGAAGCATCTGGACTTGAGTGGGATTGCTTAGTGGTTAGCCCTTGCCTGGGGAGGAGCAAAGATGAAGGGGGGGTAGGGACAGAAATGACATTTCCATACAGCTGAGCCCCCACATTGTTTTACTCTCTTCAGGATAACACAATCGCACTTTCTATGCCCCCTCAGTGCTGGGGTGTTCTGAGTTCAGCTGGTCACCAAAGCATCAGATTCTGAGAGCCCAGGTGCCACAGTGGGCCCTGGTGTTGGGGAGACATAGGACTTCTGTTCTGAATTCACTAGAGGGGAAAAGAAAAATGCTGAGGAAATGCCCAAAGTGGGGGGGGGGAGGCAAAGCTGCTGCCAGTCACCATTCCCTGGGCTCTCCCTCCATTGGGCCCGCCCTCACCATCCTGCCAACATCCCCGGCGAATGTCACCCCCTTGCTTGCCCGCTGCTCCTGGGAGCCGGTGCTGCTGCCACTCAGGGAGTTCCTTCGCATGATGCCTGGGAGCAGGATGAGGGAAGGAGAGCTCTAAGTGAAGGAAGGGGCAGCGAGGAGCAGGGGCTGGTTCCCCAGAACCAAGGCTAGACCACCAGGGCCCGAAAGATCCTGTCTATAGGGAAGGAGTCTCAAGGGAAAGGTGAAAGCTGGATGGCTGCCATCTCACCAGGGCCAGGGAGGTCAGAGCGCTGCAGGCTGTTACGGCGAGAGGTGGGGAAGCTGCCCTTGGAGAGGCGGCGCTGGCGGCTGGACAACATAGCGGCTGGGGCTACGATACCAGGCGGGGGCTGCTTCCCAAGCCGGCTGTACAAGTCCTCGATTTCTTTTTTCTGTAGGGTCTGCAGTGTCTCCACTTCTGATAAGTGTCTGAGGATGCACCAAGGGCAGGAAATGGCTAGTCACATACTTTGTGCTCCCAGGTTTACCTCTAGTTCCGCCGTCTTCCCCAGACTCACTTCTGCCGAAGAGTCTGCAGCTCAGCCCAGAACTCCTCATCCTCCCCACTGCTCTCTGACTCCTCACTGCTCAGACACAGGCTGCTGTAGGAGTAGTTCATCCACACTGGGCTGGGATGACTCAAGAGCGGGGAACTTCCTCCAGTCCGGGCCCCGTCATTCCCTTCCTCTTCGATCGCCACCCCTAGGCCCTCGGCTGCACGGTCACTCTCTGCCAGAGCCTCCCTGGTCTCTGGTCCTCCTGCAGCACTGTCCTCTGTGTCTGAGCTCTCTGAGGTCAGCTCAGGGGTTGGAAGTTTTAGGGAACTGGAGAGAGTTGGGGGTGCTGGCTGCAGGGGCGGCTCTGCCGGTTCCTTGGATGAAGTCACTTGGAAGCGCCCAACAAGCTGGGGCTTTCCCTCTGCAGGGAGGTAAGGCGGGAAGTGAGGAGGACAGAAGAAACTAGCCGGACATAAATGTGTTGGGGGTAACAGGCAGGGGAAGGTTGGGGATTAGGGGCCTCACCTTCAGAGATGGGCGCCAGTCTAGCTTCTCCCAGTAGTGGCTGAGCAGAATTTGGGGAAGCCTACAAAGTGTGGTACCATGAGAAAGGAAAGGATCCAGAACAGATCCCCCCCTCACCCCAATATCCCTCTCCATCCCCTACTCACCTCACTCTGTGTCTCCGCCATTTGGGGTAAAAGGCTCTCCTGGCCACAAGAAGCTAGGGGAAGGGACAGGCTAGGCAAGGGACCTGGAGGAGACTGAGAAAGAAGCCCAGGGGAAGGGGACAACAGGGACTGGGCCACGGTCATCACAGCCAGAGAGAAGGCACTAGCCAGAGAGAGGAGGGGGCCTGCTGTGGTAGCAGGGAGGGGGGGAGGAGAGGGGCAGGCAGGAAAAGAAGAGGGGCTGAGAGTGACTTGGGAACAACCTGGAGGGAATGGGTGGGGAGAGCTGGTGGGGAGGGCACTCACAGGAAGGTGAGAAGAAGGGAATGGGAACTGAGGAGCACTAGCGAAGGGTGGAAGTGGGGAGCTGGGGGTCTGCGGACAGGGGTTTGAAGAGACCTGGGAGAATGGGCAGGGATGGCATGAGGGTGAAGGGATCGGAAAGATGGGGCATGGGAAGACAGGGGGTGTCCCAAGGGAAAATGGGGTTCCAGGGGACAGGGGGGTTCCAGGAGAAGATGGAGAGGTAGAGAAGGCTGCCCAGCTCCTCTGTTCCGGGGAGATGCTTCTCTGGGGCTCTGCTGAAGAGGAAGGGTTGAGATTTCAGACCCCCGTGCCTTGTGCCCTCCACAAGGTCAACCCAAGGGTTGCGATGAACAGGAATAGAACCTACCATTTGGTGGGCCTGGGAGGGCAGGCGGTGCTGCTGGCTCTGCCTGAGGGAGAAAGGGGGCCTTCAGTCTCGGTGGGGAAAGCCAAGTCTCAGACGGATAGTTACAGGCTGGGATTCTTAAGATAGGACCCATGAGCCTCTAGAAATCCAGACACAAGCCTCTTGGGATTCAAAAGCATATGTGCTGAAATATTTGGAGGTAAAGAGGCATGAAATCTGCCAAACTATTCTCGAGCGGTTCAAAGGAACATAACATAGAATACAGAGGAAGAATGAGAAAGCTAGTCAAAAAGCCAGCCTTAACCAGGAAATCTGGGCAAAGGGCATCTAGGAATGGGCTCTATAGTTCTCGCCTATTTCAAGATAACAAGCTAAAAGTGTCTGCTCACTGTTTTCCAGAACAAGAGTCTGTAGCTTTCATCAGACTCTCAAACAGAGTTAAGAGCCAGTTGTAAAGTCCTCAAGATTAAGAGAAGTTAATCCAAGCAGACTGCTGAGGGCAGAGTCTGTTCCTGCTGGGGATGTCCGGAGGCCTGACCTGAGGGCTCAGGGCATCTTCAGCAGTCTCCGGAGGACCAGGATCTCTCTTCAGCAAGGTCTCCACTCGCTGGATAATCTCTCGGATCCTGCTCAGGAATCCATCTCGCTCCGAGGGCAGAATGAACTCATTGTACACCTGGCAGGGGTTACGGGATGGGAGGAGGCTGTTATCTCACCGTTGCTTCTCTGCTCCCAATGTTTAAACCCAACAGTTGATACCGCTGCATCATTTCCTGGGGATGTGTTGTGCGCCAGGCACTTGTGGTCCAGGAGGAATGTAGTCCAGGAACTGACATGCCTAGGATGTGTGTGCTGTGTGCACCAATGCTTTCCATGTATCGTCGCATGTAGCACCAACAGCCTGCTACGGTCTATTAATATCCTCCCTGTGCAATGAAGATAACTAATGCTCAGGTTAAGTCCAGCTGGCCTGGGGCTGGAGAGATGGCTCAGTGGTTAAGAACACTAGTTGCTCTTCCAGAGGACCTGGGTTCCATTCCTAGCACCTGTAACTCCAGTCCCAGAGGATCTGACACCCTCACACAGACATACATGAAGACAAAATACCAATGCACCTTCAATAAATAAATAAGATTTTTTTTTTAAAAAAGTTCAGTCGGCTCAAAGTCACGCTATTTGAAGCCAGGTCCACTAAAAGCCAGAGCCTAAATTCTTTGCACAGCTGCATGCTTTTGGGCACAATTTCTGCATTCATAGAAAGATTATAAAGTACATCACACGGGGCCCCAGTCACGCATAGCAAGGTTAAGGGGAACAGGGCAGTCAGTGGTAAATGTCACTTTCCACTCCACAGCCATCACGAACCTACTGCCTACCACGCATTGTGGGAAACGCTGTTGAGTAGGGGAAGCATGGAACATCGTGGTCTTGCACCCCACATCAATACACAGCAGGCTGCAAGTCGTCCTGGGGTGGGTAGAGCACTTGAGCGCCTTGCTGGTAGTGAGTATGGCTAAGATTTTTTTTTTTTTCTGGAGGTGGGAGGATCTTTAGCAAGCATTTCAGACCTGCAAGGTCTGGAGATCCGGTTCACAACAATGTGGGTACTGTACTATTGAACACATGCTTCAAAGTGGTTACGGCAATAAATTTTATGTTGTGGTTTAGTCTTACATTGTATTTGGTTAGTTGGTTTGGCGCTTTGTTGTTGTTTAGAGGCAGGGCGGGTGGGGGTCTTGCTACATTGTCCAGAGTGGCTTCAAACTTGTGGCAATCCTCCTGCCTCAGCTTCAGCTTCCTGAGGGGACTACAAGAACATGCCACTATACCCCACTTATAGTGTGCTTGGATTTTTTTTGTTGTTGTTGTTTTTTAAACTGCAATTTAGTCAGGCATGATGTAACACACCTTTAATACCAGCACTCATGGGGCAGAGTCAAGCTGATCTCTGTGAGTTTGAGGCCAGCCTGGTCTACATGAGCTAGTTCCAGGACAGGCTCTAAAAAAACTACAGTGAAACCCTGTCTCAAAAAACCAAAATGGCCATGCTTCCTGACTTTAGGATCACAGATAGCTGCTGCTGCTGATGATGATGATGATGATGAAAAGCAGCAAGATTCGGTCCAAGTCTCAAACTCTGCTGCAGAGACATGAACTAGGGAGGAGAGAAAAAAAATGGATCCTGGATCCAGGGGCGGGTCACTTGGATTGTGTGGATTCTGAGTGCACACGGGAACCATGGGGAAAGGTTTTCAGACCTACAGACCCCTGGATAGATAGAAACAGAGACAGGAAGGCGCCGGCCTCTTCCAGAACTGTTCATAAGTTCTGTGAGTTCAAGGCCAGCCTGGTCTACAAGAGCTAGTTCCAGGACAGGCTCCAAAGCCACAGAGAAACCCTGTCTCGAAAAACCAAAAAAAAAAAAAAAAGAACTGTTCATAAGTGTGTGGCTTGATAAAGACTCTGGAAGGGTCACATGGCTTGACGGAGGAGGACAAGCCTTCGATGTCTTTGCTCTGGAGACTAGGTGAATGGCCTCAAGGAGGAGGTGCTTTGTGAAGAATTCCTAAAGCCAGGTGTTTTCTCCACCATCTCAGCGGCTGACATCTGCCACCCCACTCTGCTGAAACTGTGTACCACTGGTACCTCTAACAAGAGCCAGTGTCATCTTGCTCAGGATTCTCCCTCTGCCTTCACTAGAATCCTCCTACTTCTTTGGCTCCAACTTGCTGTCCTTCAGTAACGTGCCCCCACTTCTCATTCTCGAGCAGGATGCTTGCAGGAGATGCAGTCTAGAAGCTCCCATGTCTCTCACTTGCACGTCTGTTTTCACCCCCAGCGCTGGACTGAGGACTCCTAAACCCATCTCTCTTTAGCTCTTCCTGGCCGTATCCTGTTGCCGTGGAGGACCTTGACTCAGCTGTTGCTCAAGCTCATCGTGACCCTTAAGAAACCCTGCTTTCATTCCCAACTTCTTCTCTCATTGAGTAGTCTGCTCCTCTTTGTTCCTCTGATACGGGTTGCCCTTGATATCCCTTCTCCCTAACTCCCTAGCATATCAACTCAGCAAATATTTATTGGGCATCCACTACCCACACTGCTACGTCAAGAACGTACTGGACTACACAGCAGTTTTCCTGAAGCAACCCTTAGATCCACCTTTTCTTCTCCTCCACATTCCATTTCACCTCCATTCCCGGGAGTCTGGCTTCTTGTGTCCACCTCCCAATCAGATTCCTCATTCCTAAAACCCTCCCACATCTCACAGCAGAACAGTCTACCTACAACCCATTCTCAGGGCTAGACAGATGGCTCATTGTCTGGAGTTCAATTCCCAACAACCACATGGTGGCTCAACCATCTGTAATGGGAGCTGATGCCCTTCTCTGTCATGTAGGCATACATGCAAATAGAGCGCTCATATACATAAATAAATAAATCTTAAAACAAACAAAAACCATTCGAGTTGTGTTTCTCTCTGCCTAACTTTCTTTGCTTTATAAGGTCTTGTGTAGCCTGTGCTGGCCTTGAACTGCTGTGCAGCCAAGGGCGACCCTGAACCCTTGATTTTCCTGTTTCCACTTCCTAAGTGCTCAAGATATCAGGCGTACACTGCAGAGCTGGCCTTCGGATGCACTCATGATCTGAATCCCACTTTCCAGGATTTACTGTAGGACCCCTTTCCTCCTGTGACAGTGGTTTCCGCAGTACGCTCCCCCCAACACTCAGTACTAACCACTAGCACTAATACTGTTCTGTGACTCCAGCCGGCCATGCCCTTCCCACCCTTCCCTGCCGTTCCTACTCATTCGCTAGGACGTGGGCCAATCCCATTCCCTCCCGTGCTGCTCCAGTCCGTGCTTTACTTCCAGTCGCAGTATGACACCTCTAGCAGGAACCACGTGCACACACCACTGTGTCTGCTCAGTCCTTATTGATCTCAACGTGTTCAGCCTGACTGTGGGGTCAGGGTGTGTCAGCACCTGTGGCCTCCAGGAGGGAAATGCTTATATCCAAATCTGCCCTGTCTCTCTCCCTCTCACCATGGCTGCTGCAATCTCCTCCGGGCTGTCCCCATCCAGATCAAATCGGAAGGTCACCATCTTGCTGTTGTGGGTCTGGAGCTGGCACTCCACAACTCTGTCATTCTGGTCTGAGACCTTTAGATTCAAAGTCAGCAGAAGGAAAGGCATCAATGCTTCTGCCTCGGTCATGTCCTCCCACCTCCTCTAGTCAAAGCGCGTGGGCCAGAGTGAACACTGAGAGCAGATTCTACCCCCAGAGTCGACACTGAAGCTAGACTAGATGCCTCGTGGGCACCAGTCACACACTGCAGCTCTGCTTTTCTGGCCCACCTCCCCTGTCTCCCTGGCAGTTCCCCACGGGTTCTGTAGGTTGCTCTCCAGCTCCTATGCTCGCCGTACACTAGTGACCCGAAGCCGGGATCGGGGTCTCCGACGAAGGCTCTTCACTGGAGGTTTCCTCGTCTGCCCCCCTTCTCCCATGTCACTGAGGCCTGATGCTGCATCTGAGGCACAGCTGGGCAGGGGAAAGAAGATAGAAGTGTTTAAGTGGGCAGTGGGGACCCAGAACTTTCTGTGTCTCGCCCTGGTACCCCAACTTAAACCAGAACATACCTGTCCCCAGGAGAAAAGTCACTGCCAGGGCCAGAGCGTGGAATGGACAAGGCGAAACTCTGAAAGAGGATACACTTCCTGAGATCAGGAGATAATAGCTGTTGATGGTAATTGTGGTGACCCAGGGAAATGGTGCCAGGGATGGGGGGAGAGAATACTAGGGAAATAGAACTGGAGAAGATAAGGACAGGAATAGTGTATTTCAGGAACAAGGGAACAGGTAGGAGGTTGGGATTCAAGAGAAAAGGATAGGTCATGAATCATTGGAAGGCTCCCAAGAGAGGGACCCCCCCTCTCACCGAGGGCAAGCAGAGATGGGACTCAGCGGGGCTGGATGGCACCCCCCCAGGGGGCTGAAGGACAGGGTCTGAGGCATCCAGGAAGCCGGAGGAGCTGAGGTAGCCATCAGTCTCGCAATCAGCTGGCAGGGAAGGGAGTGTATCAAAAAAATAATAATAATAAAGGACTGCGGTGGTAGAGGAGGGGACCTGTCTGTGCAAAGAGGGACCTGGAGCCAGGAGGGAATTGTGGGAGTATTTGTCCCTAAGGAAAGGTTCACAGCTAGAGTTGGAAGGCTGGATAAATGACAGCATTTCTGGGCTGGACTTCTGGGACCTAGAACTCCAAGTTGGGGTCACTTACAGGTGGTAGATGAGTAGCTAGCATGGCGGAAGAGGAAGGATTGGTGCTGGTCAGCCTCTGGTTCCTCGGGCTCGGGGGGGAAGGCACTGGTGGCACCAGGAGCCATGGACACAGTTGCTGGAGGAGGTCCTGACTCCTGTGGAAGGACCTTCAACTCCCTAGCTTTTCGAAGCTTCTCCCGCTTCCGCTGGATGGCAGCAACCCGTTCCCGGACTGCACGGGCCACTGGCTGGTAGTCAGCTTCGCAAACTAAGCCCAAGGCTACCTGGAGTCGGGGATAGAAAGAGAGACAGCTCCAGATTCCCCTCTATGAAAGACTCACCAGGGACTGGGGAGCTACCCAAGTTAGTAAAATGCCTACTGCACAAACATGACGTAAATCTGATCCCCAGTGCTCACGTAAGGGTCAGGCAAGCAAGCTTGTAATCTCAGTGCCGGGGAGGCAGACACAGGAGCTTGCTGGCCACCCAGTCTAGCCTAATTAGCAGGCCCCAGGTCCCAGTAAGAGACCCTGTCTCAAAAAACAAGGTTGCTGGTTCCTGAGGCATGACACCCAAAGTTAACATCCGGTTTCCACACATATGCACATACACACCTGTACATGCAGAAAGACAGAGACAAGACAGACAGACAGACAGACAGAGACAGAGGATGGATCCATCAGGACACTTTTAAACTGGCTTCTGGCCTTCACACATAGGCACATACACTTCTGTACATTCAGAGAGAGAGAGAGAGAGAGAGAGGAGGAAGGGGGAAGGGAGGGGAAAAGGATCTATTAGGACACCTTTTGAGGCCTCTAGGAATGAGGAAGGAGCTATTTATTGACTAAGTACCATATCTGTTAGTGAAAATTCATCCTTGTTAAGCCTTTTCAATAACATTGGGGAATAAACTTTGCTGCTGTTGTTTTAGACATGATAGTGATCATGAAGGCCTGCATTCCAACCCCCAACACCCATGTCAAAGCATGCACACGTATACATGCATGCATACATGCGCACCCACACAGAAAAATAATACGCCGCACACACACATACTCACTCATGCATGCACACACATGCCTTGCAGGTAATAGATCAAGATTTGATCTTGAGGGCAGGCAGGCTGGCTTTGTGTATAAAGGTGCCCACTGCCAAGCCTGACAACCTGAGTCAGAATGATGGAAGGAGAGAAGTGATTCCCACAAGTTGTCCTTTGACCTCTGCTTGTACGCTGTGGCAAATGTGCACCCACATACATACACAGAGTCACACACAAATAATATATAACTTTTCTTTAAAAAAATCTTTTCAAGATAGGGTTTCTCTGTGTAATAGCTCTAGCAGTTCTGGAACTAGCTCTTGTAGACCAGGCTGGCCTTAAACTCACAGAGATCCGCCTGCCTCTGCCTCCCAAATGCTGGGATTAAAGGTGTGCGCCACCAAGGCCCAACTACAAGAAAAGATTGCATCTATAGTCAAGCTGGGCAGTGCTTTGGCAAGGGCACTTCTGCCACATTCAGTCTCAAGTTATTATCATTAGAGACAGGGTCTCACTGTGTATCCCTGGCCTCACAATATAAACCAAGCTGGGCTCAGAGATTCATCTACTTTTGCCTCCTGAGTGCTGGGGTCAATAATATGAGCCACTGGAGCTGGAGAGATGGCTCAGAGGTTAAGAACACTGGCTACTCTTCCAGAGGTCCTGAGTTCAATCCCAGCAACCACTTGGTGGCTCACGACCATCTGTAATGAGATCTGATGTCCTCTTCTGGTGTGCAGGCATACATGCAGACAGAACACTGTGTACACAATAAATAGATTTTAAAAAAAAGAAAAAATAATATGAGCCACTACGTCAGGATAGTCTCAGGTTCTTGACCCAGCACAGATGACCCTTGACCTTGCTACTGCCATTACTCTATTGAGAACCCCATATTCTCACCCCTTCTCCCATTCAGGCTCTCCTCAACAAGCTTTTAAGGTTCTGCCCTGACATCGTCTATGCCCACACCTGCTTTCTCTTCCACCAGTGTCTGCTCCTCCCCTCCCTCTCCTTCCCTTTCAGTTTAGCTGTGAGTTTTGCAGGTGGAGTAGAAGAAGAGCGGCAGGGCCACCTGACCAAATCTGAATGGTTTGAGCTTAAATCCTGCTTTGTCATTTGTTTACTTGGGACTCCAGACAAGACAGTCTCTCTGAGCTTGCATTCCTTCATCGATAAGTTGGGATAAAATTGCCTTCCAAACAGGCTCACGTGAAAATGCTTCAAGTCACGTGTGATTGCTAAGGAGGACCTACCACCTGCCAAACAGTAAGGGATTAGAAAAAAAAAATCTGGTAACAGATAGTTTCTGGTCTAGCAGAGGAGAGAGATGGTAAACGCATTCTGGTATAAAACAAAGCACACGGTTGAGACTGTGTAGAGGTCCCACTGATATGGAAAGAAGCATTCAACTTTTAACTCCAGAGGAGTGACCTTCCTGGAATTGATGGTGCTAAGCATTGGGGGTGGGGGGACGACAAAGAAGGTGGAGAGGGAAAAATAAATAGATAAATTGCCAAGAAGGACATTCCATGATAAATGAATCTGCAAGAAACAAAGAAGCGAGGTTAGAGGATCCACGGTTGGTTCTGGAAAAAAAAAAAAAAAAAAAAACCCTAGCGTGTGCAGGTGAATTAGGGCAGGAGAGGCAGGAAGACCCCTGTAGGAGATGCTCCTCTGGGTGGGAGCCTCCTCTCGCTCCTCTAGTGGCCCACCCTGGCCCTCTCCTATTGACTGGTGACAGATTGGCCGAGCCCTTTACACGCTCAATCAAAACAGGACCTATCTCCTCACCATCTCCTGAGCCACCTCCTCAGCAGCGTCCCGACCAAGCTGGAACAGGAACTCGATGGCCTGGTTATCCCGTGGGCGCCCCCCGCGCCGCGCATCCTCCATGCGCAGCCAGAGTTTGAGACCCGGCTTCTCCCCGTCATCCTCTTCTGCCAGTTCCACGTGCACACCTCGTTCCTCGCGGAAGAACGCGTGGGCCAGGAGATCCTGAATGGTAAACCTGGGGACCGTGGAGAAGTGAGGAGCCAAGCCTGCTGCCACCCGAGCTTCGTCTCCACGTCCTCTCTGGCCCGGGGACCCCACCTCTCGTTCTTATCCGTGCGGATGCAGCCTTCAATGATCTCCTTCACCTCCGGCATCTTCACCTTGTAGAAGCTGTTGGGCTTTGTGCCCTGCGAGAAGAGTTGCATGAGGCCTCGGGTTGCCTGCGAGCCAGCTCTCAGGAAGTGTGCAAAGCAGGCAGTCTCCAAGGCTCGGGTGGGGGAAGGGTGCTGGTACTGAAAGACTCGATTTTCAAATCCATTCCCTCCACATATTGCTGGTGTGACCTCGCGCAAGACTTCCCGGTTGGTTGTTTTCTCATTTGTAAAGCGCAGAGCAGAACATTCGCCCGGCTCACCTGGTGGGACAACTAGGAAGATCTGCCGAGACTAGATGTGCAGCGGCTTGTAAACTCTTAGGATTGCACATATTCTTACTAGCTTGTGTGAGGGGCTTACGTGCATACAACACATTTCCGCTTCACTAGGGCATCTTTCTGTCTGGCCTGTTTTTATTGAGATAAAGGATACCGGCTACATACAGGCTAGTTAGAGGGCAGGAGAGTGGGAGGGCCTCTGGGGATCCCTTCTTCCCGAACCCCGTCCTTCTCACCGAAGTGACCTTGCGGTAGATTTGTGCTGCGTTCTGGCACTCAGAGTAGGGATACTCAGATGTAGCCATCTCCAGCATGCACATCCCAAAGGCGTACACGTCCACGGCCTCGTCGTACTTTTCCTCATACATCTCGGGGGCCATAAATTCCGGGGTCCCTGTTGGACCCACAGAAAAGGTCAGGCCTTCCTCTTGGTCCCCTCCCTCCATTCGGGTCTATCATGGGCTAAATAGCCCAAGGGCAACCCCGGGAGTTCTGGTGACTAACTCTTGCCCGAAGTGTGTTCTGGGGGCTGGAAGAATGGGTTGCCCTAGTTTGGGAGCTCTCCAAAGCCCTGTTGGAGCTCTTTTCTGATGTGGGGGAGCTAGCAATGAGAAAGGCCCTGCTGGAGAGACGCACCGATGACGCTCTTGGCAAAGGAGGCGCGCTTGAGTGTGGCCAGTCCGAGATCTCCGATTTTGACAGAGCCTGAAGGGCCGGTAATGAAAACGTTGTCACACTTGAGATCTCGGTGCAGGATGGGGGGCACGCGGGAATGTAGGAAATGAAGTCCCCGCAAGATTTGGCGACTCCAGCGCTGAAGGACTCGGGGCTTCATTTCGCGGAACCGCCTCAGGTACCTGGGAGAGGGTGCATAACCATGGTCGGCGTGGGGATATCGATTCCCGGACTGGAAAATTTCCTCTCATCCTACCCTTGCCGCCACCTCCGCGTCCCCTGCCAGATTCTTTTAAATCAGGTTCGTCGGGCCCAAAAAGAAACTGAGTCAATGAGTATGGTAAATAGGTTACAAAACTACTGACAGAGATAGGGTGACCGCCAAAGAAGGTGCTGTGGGAGCAGGAAGGAATGACTGTCCCAAGCGTGGGGGAGGATTTCACTGAGGAAATAACTTTTGCCTTGAAGGAGGAGTATTAAGTTCAAGGGTGAAAATGGGAAGAGATGGAGATTTTCCCCACTGAAGGACCACAGGAGTGACAGGGCAGGGTGGGAAGTCACTGAGAACTGGCTTTGTTAACTTAAGCTAGAAATGAGGGTGTATTTTAGGGACTTTGTGGACTTTACCCCAGGGCAGTAGGAAATCTTGAAGAGGTTTGAGGAGGCAAAGGGTCAGATTTCCTCTAGGTTGCAGGAAGATGGGATAACGAGGGGTTGGCATACTGGGAAAGGCTCCTTAGGGCTGCTGTTGTGTATGTGTTTGGGAGGGGGGCATCAGTAGTGTTGCAGCAAGGTAGGGAGGGCAAAGATGAGCAGTGAAAACCCAGCGGGGGAAGATATTAAGCAAAGACCTAAGAGACGCTGCTGTCTGCTGTTAAGCACAACAAAGATATAGACATGGGAGGGCATTGTCGTGATTGGGAGAAGTTCCCAGGGCCTCGGAGTGACGTTCCATCCTTCCCCTCCCACCCAGGCCAGAGCTCACGTCTTGAGCGTGCCGGAGGTCATGAGTTCAGTGACCAGCACGATGCAAACCTGGCCCCTCAGCACCGACTTCCACGAGTCATAGAAGCGGACGATGTTGGGGTGCTGCAGCCCCTTAAGCATCTCAACCTCCTCGGAGAATCGCTGCCGTTCAGCTCGAGATAGTTTCCGAGTCTGTGGGATCGGACGATAGGGGTCACATCAGACCCAGAACCCCAGGAAGAAGAGCACGGGATATCTGGGGCAGAACTTGGGCGGGGGGGGGGGGGGGGGGGGGCGGGGCGGGATGAGGGCAGGAGCATATGGCCGGGGTACGATTGATTGGTGAGATCGCTAGCCAGAAGGGCAGCAGACCCCCGACTTTTGGTTGGTCTCTTCTTATTGCTCCAATAACACACCCATCCTGGGCCTGGGGCAGCAATCCGGACCCCCCGCTGGACACAAGCGTCTTTATGCACAGGTCTGGGAGCCGGTGCTCAATAGCGCCTTTGTGGCCTCCAGAGCCGACTGTGGAAGTTGGGGAGGAGGGGGGCTTGTGCCCTGGGGCTGGCAGCCGGTAGGCAGCAGGCAGCCCACGGGCCGGGAATTGGGGCCGGCAAGAGGTTGGCCCTAAAACCTAGGAACTGCAGGCTCTAGAAAGAGGTAGATGAAGGTATCAAGAAAAAAAAAGATCCTGTATCAGGGCCAGGAGACCGCCCCCCATGGCTGGGGCTGCCCACCCCTCCTTTCTCTCTCTCCCTCCCTCCCCCTCCCCTGAGTCTGGCCGATTCTCCTGGCCTGGCTTAAAGCCTGGGGCGCGGCACTAGCAGGCACTAGCAGAGAGTCCTGTGCCAGAGCCAAAGTGGAAGGACCCCTCCTCCTGGTTTTGTTTCCTAATCTGGATCTTGAGTTTCTGGGACCACTCACACTTAGAATGGGAGCAACGGGAGGAAGAAAGTGCTAAAAATCTGTATCTTCCTGAAGTCCAAAACTTGCTAGAGCTCAGCTCCTTTGGCAATGGAAAGGGAGAACCCAGGTATGCAGAGGGGTGTGAAACCAGACTGGACTCCAGCTTCAGCTAGTGTCCTGTCCCTGCTCCCTGAAGTTGCTGCGAAGTCTGTAAGGCTGACTGCGTCGGAAGGAACCTGGGGAGCCCCCTTCTGCCATAACTACCCTAAATCTTTTTGGAGGTGGAGAGGACTTTGGCCTCAACTCCGGGCCTCCCACATCCCAGTCTCTTAAGTTTGTAAAGAGGGAGGAGGAGGAGCGAGAGGACCAGGGTCACAGCACAAAGTCTCAAGACTTAGAGGAAAAAGAGAGGACCGGGCAGTGGTGCCCAGGGCAGGAGACTGAAGGGTCTGCCTCCCTCCCTACTCAGTTTCCCAACACTCAGGTTTGTAGAGAGGCTTGAAAGTGAAGCTAGCTATGCGCATTGGCTCATTGGGAGCCACCATATACCACCTGCCTCAGTTTCTCCGGAACCCACCCAGAGTCAGTGAGATCATGCCGGCAAGAAGAGCAAGGGTGCCTGGACATCTGATAAGAAAAAAAATGATCCTTTTCTTGATGTTGTCCTCCCGTTTTCCCAACCTGCGACCTCCAAAGGGCCCCATCCCCAGGTACCACAGAGGGGGCGCCCAGCCACACCTGCAGTTCACACCAGGCCACCTCTACCGTGGTGTCGGTGTCTAGCCCTCGATACACCGTCTTGAAGGAGCCTCTTCCAATCTCAATGTCAAACTTGAGGTATCGGCCGTCTGGAGACGTTGCCACAGCCTGGGTCTCTGTGTCCTCTTTCTCTTCCTGCTCCCGCCGCCGCTCCCGGGCTGCAGCATCAAGAAGCCTCGGTGGTTCCCGGGACCCGGGACCTCCCGAAGGTACCGTGAGCTCAGGACTTGCCAAGTCTGCAGCCTTCACCGGGGCTGCCCCGGTCCATGTGCCCTCGGAGGTTTCTTTGGCGTTAGGAGGTGGGCTCTTCGTGCGGCCAACGGGGTCCGGAGGATCGGGGGGTTCCGGAAGGAATGACACTGGTTGAGACCAGGAGCTCAGCAGTCCCAAATCGACTGAGCTGCGGCGGTTCGGTCGTGAAGAGCGGGGTCGGGGTTCAGCCTTCCCAGAGAAGCGGCGCACTCGCCGAGGAGGTGGCCCCAAGCGAGTTGGCCCCGAGGAGGTGAGAGCCGGCGGTGGCCGCAGAGCCAAGTCAGCCTCGGTTTGGGACATGGGGACCCCGTTTTCCGTAGTCCGAGGTGCTAGCATGGGGAAGGGCCGGGCGCCGCAGGGCGGAAAGCCAGGCGACTGGAGGCGGCGGCCTGACAGGCGGACCGGCTGGGTGCGCAGCGCTCCGGCTGAGCGGCTGGGGCCCCAGCCCCCGGCGGGCCGTCCTGGCGACCCGCCCCCAGCTCCGCCCCACGACCCGCCCCCAGCCGAGACCGGTCCTCACCCCCTAGGGCCACCCCCTTGTGAGCCTGGCGCGTTTTACCGCGTGGAGCTGGGGTGCTGCCCTCACCTCTGCCGCCCGCCGCTTAGCCCCCCGGCCGCCCGCCTTGCTCTCCAGAGTCTCCGCCTTCAACCCTTTTCCCCGGCAAGAGCTGAGTGAGTGGGAGGAAGCGGTGGGTGTGCTCCCGCACAAGGGAGAGCCAAACATGTTTGGGGTGGGGGAGCTGGAGGACACTGGAACAGGAGATGAAAAGTGACTGAGGCTCCCAGCCTCAGTGGGGAGGAGGGTAGCTGGGGAGAGGCACCACTAGCCTGCACGCCCCTGATAAGGCAGCAAGCACTACCCAGCCCTAATCAGGAGCAGCCCCAGGCCTAACATCGGTGTTGGAAAGGTAAGGTTTTTCTGACTCAGCTAGACCCCCTGTCCACACAGACGGGTGTGTGTACTCTAGGACAAGTGCCACCACCCCCAACCAAGAGCTGGTCACCCATCAGCTCCACCCCACCTTGGCCTGAGTCTGGCCCTGGCCAGAAAGGCTGTTTTTGCTGTGGGCTCTCCTTCCTCCCCTTCTGTTTGCCAAAGTCTTCAATAAACCAAAGTTCACATCCGGTCCCCCCCCCCCCCAGCTCCCCTTGGCCACAACTACCCCACCCAGGCCAGATGGGTGGAGGGAGGGGCTTCAGACTAGTTCAGGACTTCCATGGGAGAGCAAGTAAGAGACTCCAATTTAGAGAGCAGTCTGTCCTCCAGCCATGTTCCAACAGCACTCCTCCACACAACCCACCCAGCACATGGAAAACTAGGGGCTCCCTGGAGACCCCAAACCCAGCAGCTCTTCTCTTGTACAAAGGCCAAAGGATTCTTCTCTCTCCTTGGCTGGGACTCAATCAGGTGGAACCCGCCCCGCCTTCTGCAGCCCTATTCCAGCAGTAGTAACAGGCAGGCAGTGGGAGTAGAGATTTTAATATCTTAAATCAGAGTGGGCCCGCCTTTCACTGCCAGGCCCCTTCTGGGGCTTCCTATCTTCGTATTGCCTGGAAGGCTGCCTGCAGCCAGGGCTTCCCCCATCCCCTAAGAAGGATCCAGCACCAGCCTGAGAAAGGAGGCAATAGCAGCTAAAGGAGTGGGAGGGGGGAGGAGAAAGAAGCGTGTGCAGGCGCATGTAGGTGTGTACTTATGTGTGAGAACACATGTAAAGTGTCAGGTTTATAGACCCTGGCCCAGAGACAGTCTAGGATGGGAAAGGAGGTAGGGCAAGAAACATCCTTTCTCCCTGGCACCGTGGGCTCACCCTGTCCCAGGGGTAGGTAGAATGGATTATGTGGGAAGTATCCCTAAGTCCGAGCTTTCAGGACTTGAGCCCTTTGAGTCTGGTGGAGTGAGTGATCCAGTCTGTGGGACACTTGGTCTGTCTCCTTTTGAAAGCCCTGGAAAGGTGGGAGGTAAGAAGTGGAGGGAGACAGGTCTCTGCTAGAAGAACTTGACTCCTCGGCCATCACTGACAGTGATAATCTCAGCCTTGTGCTCCTGCTGTAGGGCCTGCAGAGCACGAAGTAGGGTCGCCTCATCCAGCCCATGGAACTCTAGAGGGGAAGAGATGGTCAGTCAGGACACTCAGTTCTTTCGATGGCCGAGCTAGAAGCTGAGGACTCCAAAGCCAGGCTATTCTATTCGTGTGCTATCTGTACCACTGCAGCCGTCACTCACACTTCCTGGGCATTCACTGGGAGTGAAGAGTGGAAGGCAGCCTGGACAGCATGAAATGAAGCAGCAGGCTTACTTCAGCCTTCTCAGTTCTACCTCCAGAGCCCTCTTTCTCTTTGCTGTTATCAAATATCTAACGTACCATGGACACCCTTTGCCTTTAGGACCACAAGTAACCCTGATAATCTGAACTAGGTCAGGGCCCATGCACTGGACAGTGAGCCCATCCAAACATCTGTACAAACCAGGAGATGTGCCTTAATACATGGAAGTATAGCTGGCACCCCTAGCTAGGAGACTGCTAAAGTTCACAGCCAAAATCGTCCTTTCCTAGATGAAAGGGAGCTAGGGCCAGAGTATTCAGAGATATGGGAAGGTACTGTCAAGATGTGAGAGGCAGCAGACAAGCCCTGACAGGCTTGCTCACCTCACTACCCCCCCACAGGGAGCCCAGCTCAAGTCAAGGAGTGAGCATTCTGAGGAAGCTTCCAGCTTTGTACAGGCTGAGTGGTGGGCTGGGCCAGGCTGCAGTGCTGAACTCACGGGGTGATGGTGGGAACAGCACGCAGAGGCCTGCAGGGAGGGGAGACAGCCAAGTAATGTAAAGTCTGTTGGAGCACTCACAGCCTGGCAGAACACCTACCCCCGACCCTGGCAAAGACCCAAACTTTTGGTGATCCTGGGGATCAGAATAAAGAGTCACTGGGAAAAAAAAGCTCCGAAGGTATTTTCCCTATGTAAAAATCAAAGGCCACACAAATCCTCGCCTGGCACAAACTCAATATGAAATGGGCAGGGGGTGGGGCTGGGGGTGTTGGCCCGATCCCTTCAGCTGACACCCACAAATCTTGAGCCTTCTATGAGAAGGAAGGGTGAAAGAGAGCTTGAGTCAGCAAGGAATGAAATCCCAAGTTTAATCCCCCACGCTGGTTCCTCGCTGGCTTTTTCAGCAACAATTCTTAACACAGCCCTAAAAAATCTAAAAATACACCAACATCCACAGCAATATAAGTTGGTTTGTTTGTAAACTCAAGTGGTATGGAATGTTTAGATGAGAGTTCAGTTTTGAACTGCGCTGGAGAAATGGCTCAGTGGTTAAGAATACTTGCTGCTTGTGTGAAGGCAACGGATTTGGTTCCTAGCACCTAAGTGACTGCTCACAACAGTTTTAGGGGATCCATCCAGTGACCTCTTCTGGCCCCCATGGGCACCAGGCATGTATGTGGTGCATATACATACGTTCAGGCAAACGCTCATGTGCATAACATAAAAATAAACTTTTTCTTTCTTCCTTCCTTTCTTCCTTCCTTCCTTTCTTTTTTGTTTTTTGAGACAGGGTTTCTCTGTGTAGCCCTAGGGGTCCTGGAATTTGCTCTGTAGACCAGACTGGACTCAAAATCAGAGATCCACCTGCCTTTGCCTCCTGAGGGCTGGGATTTAAGGCATGCGCCACCACCGCCCAGCTAAAAATAAATCTTAAAAAACAAACAAACAACAACAACAAAACCCACAGAACTGGGGCTGGAGAGATGGCTCAGAGGTTAAGAACACTGGCTGTTCTTCCAGAGGTCCTGAGTTCAATTCCAGGCAACCACATAATGGCTCACAACCACCTGTAATGAGGTCTGGTGTCCTCTTCTGGCATAGAGGTATACATGCAGGAGGAATATTGTATACATAATAAATAAATCTTTAAAAAAAAACCTACAGAACTTTGCATTATGGAATTTAGAGGCAGAGAAATGGTGAGTCTGAAGATGCACTAAACCAATACTGGAGAGAAGAGGGTTCTGATCAGAGACCTGGAAGAAGAAAAAGGAATTACCTTCGTCCTCTGTGTCTTCCCCACTGGTCAGTTCATACAGGGTAAACACAGAGTTGTTCTGGCCGCTCCTGGAAACCTGAGGGCACAAACAATGAGGGCTGAGCAAGGCCCGCAGATCTGGGAGAAGGTAAACGTCAGCTCTACCTTTTCCCTCCAGGACTGGTGCCTACCCCCAGATCAGGACTGTCACCTCTGCAGGGCCCTAAACCCATTAGCCCTACAGGTGCTATATTTGTCTGTGTACACACACATTTGGAACCACTAAACCACAGCCGTTCACGTGTCTCAAAAGTGACCTCTCATCCTGGTTGTTTTCTGCTCAGGAATGGGTGGTGTGTGTTTGTTATATTTAGGTTGTTGGTGCTTCCTCCCCTCCTTCTCTCTTGGGAGTGTTTGGGGATGGTGGTAACGTGGAGTCCAAGGGACAGAGTACGCTGTCCTCACACCCACACTGGTTCAGAAGGTCTCATTCATGGGAGTGACACCATGAAGGCACAGTGGGAGAGGGAACCCAGGTCTTTTTTTTCCCTCTCTCCCTTCCTTTCCCCATTTATCTCCTGTGGCCAGAGGCTCCAGCCAACAATAGCACTCATGGTTCCCAGTACTGCATTCTCCAAACATGGCCTCACGTAGCCTCTGGCCTCCTGCAGGCAAAGAAAGGGAGATTCTGTGCAGGAGAGACATTGAGTCACTGAAGGATGGTTGCCAGAAAGGCCCGTGCTTCCGTTTTTGCCCACTCCCACTCTGCCAAGTTTGGATCTAAAAAACGCCAGCTATCGGCTGGGCACAGGCAACAATTCTTCTTTGCCATGGGTCATTGCTTAGTGCTTAGCAGGGTGGCCTCACCCATTGATAAATGAGTTTCCCCCATTCTTCTGGCCTCCGCCACATGATCAGGAAGCTAGACTTATTCTTATCCAACCACTCGAGGTTCCCTGTAAAACAGATACTTATGAAAGCATCATGCTCTAAAAAAAGGGACAGAGAGGCAAACACCAATATAGGGCAGAGTGGAAGAGACTCCGCTTTCAGAATAAGGGATTCAATATTTATTTTACTATTCTTATGTATAAAGCATCCTATTCTCCTTAGTCCATCTCTCTTCAGGTTTAGGCCATAGAGGGATTTTAATTTGGGTAACTAATGGGGGAAAAGAATTGGGCCATCTCAGAATACTTGCGGCTTCAAGCTAGAGGAGACAGAAAAGTCATTAAGAGGAAAAGAGATGCCCTGCTCTGCCCTCAGGAAAACCCAAGGAAGAAGAACACAGGTATCGGAGGAATTGAACCTACCTTTCTTTCTTAGCTCCTCTAATACAATCTGGATTGACTCCACAGGAAGTTTTCCTGGTTTAGGGTTAAGGGGATAGCCTATGTGTGAACTGGCTTAAATAAAAATCTTCAGAGCAGGGGCCCATGATGAGATGAGTATCATCTAGTCCCTTCCTTTCCCTGCTATCCATACACGCAATTTTGGAAGAAGATACAAGTTAGCTTTTGTATAAGGTAAAAAGATACTCCCAAGAACTGGCAGAGTGTGGTTGTACAGGCCTGCAGTACCAGCTCTTGTGAGATGGATACAAGAATCGCCAATA